CCAGATAGTGACGTAGGTATGTGGGGGCGTGTTAGAACGAGCCGTTTTAGGTAGGCGTGGCTGACTCTTAACTTTTATAAAGAATATCTCTTTGGATTTGAGACTTTAGTCTTTGCAACTTTACAGATCTTCTTTATGCACCAAGAGCTTGTAACACTTCAAAGAGAAAGGAAAACTTGAAATCGCATCATATGACCCCTTTAATAAAAACAGTTGATGAAAATGTTACTACATTAAGCACATTTTATTTTGTTATAACAAAATAACAAATAAACAATAAATTCTACTGATGTAAAACTGTTTTTAAATCTGCTGCCGTTTAAATGTTTTATGACTGGGAATGACTCTGGAAGGAAAAACTTATATTACTTGTAATAAACTTATAAAACTTATATTATTATTGTATGTATTTATTTTTAAAAAAATGTTCTAATGTCTTGATAAACTTTATTGATCAAAAAAGAATGAATTTGACATACTTTCATTGAAGTCCCGTCCGAGTTCATGGTTAGGACAGCGTTTGACCACCTCTGTGACGTGTTCGGCCTTCTTGTAGATGGGCATGGCTCGAATCACACCGCCGTTTGGGGGCGAGGAAGCCAGTTTGATCTGAATCGGACAGGTCTTGGCGATCTGACAATACAGCTTCTTAAGCAGTGGAGAGTACTGCAGGAAAAAACAAACAGAAATAAACATTTGAAATATGCTTACACAGTGAATCACACTAAGTTACCACACTTTAAAAATATGCTTCTTTATAGATGAAGACAAGTTCATCATCATCTGATGAGGTCTCTCTCTCTCTCACACACACACACACACACTCATAAGCATGTCAGAGCTTGTCTAAATCTATAAAGACATCCCAAATATTCCCCCAAAAACTAAATGTACAAGCCTGCTTTGTGCGGACTTGTATTAATGTGATTCAGATTTTATGAAAGGGAGATTTTACGCCAGGTGCTGCAACAGAACAAATATCATAAACACTGTTTGCTGATGTTGCAATCACAATTTATACAAACATAAATGATTCCCACAAAATAAAGCTCATGAAAACGTAATTTCATTGTCTAACTTAAGTACAAGTGACATCTGACCAGAATTAAATTAAGCGTCAGAATGAAATACCTAAATGCAAAACCAAAATAGCTGACTGAATCTAAAGGAAAGCAGGAAATATTAAAGAATATTTGGAATTATTAAAGCTTAAATTAAGTTGTTTATAATCTTTTTAAGATCTATTTATTTCTGTCTGTCTATCTATCTATCTATCTTTGGAGAAGCAAACAAGAAATATGATAAGCAGTCAAACATTACACAAAAGATCAAATTAATGTCAACAAATAGTTGCAGGTACAATGTGACAAAAAGCAACTCCAAAAATATCAATATATCTTTTCAAAATAATTTAGAGCAATATCATTTTCTTACTCACTTTTTCAAAACTCACTTTCTAATATGCCACCACAGAAACATTACATTAGCGTCATTTTATTTAAAAATATAGTCCAGTTCAGTTTAGATCTGCCAATTTCACATGGTGGATGACAAACTGATAATCTCATAATATTACAGTAAATATCATAATATATTACAATATTATTTGAGGGACGTGAGCCATATTTAGAGTAAGAATATCACAGAGACTATGACTCAGTTAGCAACCACCCAGAACACCCTAGCGAACACATAGCAACACTCTGATAAATGCATAGCATTATTAGTGTTGAGTTATCATTACGAATGTTTCATCATTTACATCTGTTTCTTTGTTTACAATAAAAAAAAAACAACAACAACAAAAACACCTCAAAGCAGATTTCCCTGCTGATCTCATCAATCAATAGTAAAAGTGGTGTAATTGAGTCACCTTGCCACTGTTTCACACTCAATCCATCTACTCACCATTTAGCTGAACTTCAGTTGAAATTATCATTTGGGTGAAAGAATTTTAATGAATTCAAAAATGGCTTGAAAGATAAGGACATTAAAGTGTTGACAGCGCACAGGAACAGGAAGAGCTCCATTAGTGAATAAATAAATAAGGTTCCAAAAGAGGGTTTTTGCAATGATGCCACAGAAGAACAATCCCAAAAGAACATTTCCGTTACCAGTTCTTAAAAGAAAATTTTTTTTTAGTGTGAAGAATATTTTTATATTCAAAAGAACCATTTTCCACTATAAAGAACATTTTGTGCAGTGGAAAGGTTGCATGGATGTTAAGGTTCTTCGTGGAACCTTAAATGCCACAAATAACTTTTTTATTTTTAACAATTCAAAACTATTTTGCACATGAAACATTCTTCCTCTACATCCTTGCAAAGCACCTCTATGATGCTGCCAACAACCACGAAAGAACTTAATATAAAAACTTATAAATATATATATGTAATATAATATTTAATATTTTTAAATAATATACTGCAAGCACGCGAAACGGAGCATGACACACACATTTGGTTCGTAGACGGCTTGCTTGATTGCACTGGCAGCGCTGCATCGCTCGCCTGCAGTGTAGACACTGTGTTAGTGTTGTAAGGTGGAATAAGATGATGGGCTGGAGGAAGGTGAGCATTGGAAAGGCGCACGTTTGGGCAGGCTCGGCGGCCTAAGTGATAATGACGAGTCTGACAGCCTGATGGACATGTTTCAGCATGCCACTCGCAAATTCAGCCAACTCCCCATCTCCGTCAATAAATTCACAAATGTGCTGCCTATGCTAACGGCTGTGAAATTGCAGCCAGCATAACATACGCTACCGCTCCGTTGTTAATATACTGCAAGCACGCGAAACGGAGCATGACACACACATTTGGTTCGTAGACGGCTTGCTTGATTGCACTGGCAGCGCTGCATCGCTCGCCTGCAGTGTAGACACTGTGTTAGTGTTGTAAGGTGGAATAAGATGATGGGCTGGAGGAAGGTGAGCATTGGAAAGGCGCACGTTTCCGCTGTTCCTCCCAATACACACTGGGAGAAACAGAAATGAGAGAAAGAAAAAAATTTGAGCAAGAAAAATCATATTGCCGTCAATAATATAAAAGTTAGAAAAAACATAAATAGCATAGACAATTAAAATGAACGAAGCAGATTTTTTTTCCTCAGAGGTTGTTCTTTTAGGAGCCACGATGGAGCTTTTTCAACCAAAAATAAAATTTCTGTCATCATTTATTCAGTCTCATGCCATTCCTGTATGAATTTGTACTGTGGAACACAAAAGAAGATATTTTGAAAAATGTCCAATGTCCACTGTTGTTTTGGACCCCATTGACTTTCATTGTATGGACAATGCCAGATGTTTTCCCAAAAATCACCTGAGGTCAGAGTATAAATGATTTCCATATTTTTGGAGGGCTGTACTTTGGAGTTGGCTGCTGTTTGCTGACATGTGGAAACAAGTATTCTTTACAGGGAGGGACAGACCTTTTTTTCTTAAAACAATTCTTGTTTTGTTCAAATTCAACTTAAGAACCCAAAGAAACATTTCTTTCCAAATTGTATTGTAACAAAATGTAACATTTCTTTCTAAACTGTAAAGGGAAAACCATTTTGCTTTGCATGTTTCAGTTTAATGTCAAACTCTAAATTCAACATTTGATGTTAAAATTACAATAAAAGTTTAGGTTAAAATTGCATAGGGAAATGTATAAGTAAATAATATATTATGGATGATGCAACTGATCAATTTTGTAGAATGTCCAAGATGCTCTTTTCCACACAATGAAAGTGAACAGCTGCCTCTAGTCCCATCCACTTTCACTGCACGGGAAAATTTTTTAAAATAAAAAACAGTTCGGACAATCTGCTAAATTTCTTTTTTGTGTTCTATGCAAGAAAGAAAATCTTACGGTTTGGAATAACAAGAAATTAACAGCATGATTTTTCATTTTTGCGTGAACTATCAGTTTAAGTTCATAGCGAATAAGACAGAACCAAACCAGAAGAATGATGATGGGTCAATCGGTTTTATATTTAAAAATGAACACATTTTTGCATTCAGTCTGCAGTGCCTGCACATTTGTATGAAATCTCAGCAGTTGTGTGTGTTTCGTCATTTTGAGAGGAAGGATGCACTGGCTTCGGGCCGTGTTTAGACCCGCTCGCTAACTCTAAGGGTAAAATCTAAGAAGCGCAGCCTCAAATACTCCAGAAGCAAAGACGTGCTCAGACTTGCCCAACTTATATGCCAACAATGAAAAAAAAAGTGTGGGGGTCTTTATTGGAAAAGCTGAGGTGTCAGAACTCATTTTCATCCCTTATGACAGCTCTTGCTTTAAGCCTATAATGTGTGTTTGAGAGAGAGAGAGCTTTTAAACAGTTATCCCTAACACACAATTTGTTTTTATGATTCACTCGGTGATATCATACCATAATTGGGGCCTAAAAAGACAGAGGCAAAGGCCCAGGCAGAAACAGACATGATTCAGGAAGATAGCAGAAAATGACTTTAACAAAACCTTTTCAGCGATGAAAAAAGCCCCACCTTTAAGAGCTCGCACAAGGTCATCTGAGAAGCGCAGCTGAATGAACGGAAGGACTTCAGAACCAAGGACAGGGACATGGACTCTGAACTCTACACCAGTGGTTCTCAACCTTTTTTTCCACTGGGCCGCACTATGGTCCAAGTGCAAGTCTCACGGGCCGCATGCATATCATTTACATATTATGTCACCAATACAAACCAACCAGATTTATAATAGCCTATTATAGCCTAAATATTATGATATCTAATCGATTACATTCACTGAAATAAATAAATAAATAATTATACTCCCCATTATTAAAACACCTGATGCTGTCGGGAGCTGACCAATTTTGTGAAATTCGGCTCGAAAGGAGTAACAGCACAATGAAGTTGCGATTGTAAGTTGCAGTCTTTAAGGCGCGCACGGAAGCGTGACTTGAAGCACGACATTAGCCCTGAACATCTTCAAGTGAGTGGCGGGGCAAACCGAACGTTGATGCCGAAAGTCCAGCACTCTCCTACCTTCACTGCTGCGACTATTCTTGTTTGTATGTGTTCCTTCGCTGGCATTTTCCACATTTCGTTTTTCTCCCTTAATAACAAATGTGTCCATTCTGATGCTCAATTTTACTGAACTAATGGCTGCTGATGACTATGTCAATTGAATTCTGCCAAAGTGCGCGCTTGTAAGTGTTTGTTAAATGCGTAACGTTAATTACGTGAGTAGCCTATAGATCTGCTCATATCTGAAAAAAATAATAAAAGTGCGCGCTTGTAAGTGTTTGTTAAATGTGTAACGTTAATTACGTGAGTAGGCTACAGGTCTGCTCATGTCTGAAAATAATATATGAAAAACTAAATTATTTTACATAAAAACATTATAGCTTATATTTGTTTAGAACATTTTTAAATTAATGTAAAAACTAAAATGAATTGTAAAACTGAAAGTTATTTTTTAAATTGTGTTCAGCATGGGGGGCCGCATTTGAATTCGCGACCGGCCGCGGGTTGAGAACCACTGCTCTACACCGATACCACTGATACACAGGATGATTTTGAGCTTTACTAGCTTCGATCTTATGCATTATTACTAAATAAAAGCAGAGAACGATACGAAGAGAAGTGTTTGAATGAAAAAATCCCTCAAATTGTTCTTTCTTCCTTGTAGAATATCTTGCCTGCTGTTTTTCATGAAAATTATTATTCCCTAAAAATCGTTTCTTTCAATGTCAAACCTAGTGTAACTTGTCTTGATGTGCCCATTTTAAATATGCCCAAGTGCAAAAATTTAAGAGCTGCTACATATATTAATGTTTTCAAGCAATAAAGATTCAAAACTTCCGATCTCTTCTCAGAAGATTTGGAATGCAAGTGGTATGAACTAAATTTCGTTTTATTTATTTATTTTTGGTCATTTTGTTGTTGTTAACTACATTTAAAAGCATTAAAAATCCTTTTCAATAATTGAAATGAATCTGAAATAAAATGAAATATAAACGTAAGATGCATAACATAAACTTAAAAAACTATTTGCCTTGGCAAATAACTGAAATAAAAAGAACTACAATTACTAAAGGTAAAATAGGGACAAACCCAGCAATTGGGCTGTTTTGACCCAGCGGTTGGGTTAAATGTTTAACCCAACCTTCTGGGTAGTAACCCAACCGCTGGGTCAAATATACATTCTATAAAATGAAATATATCTAAATATATAAATTTGAGATATTTTTAGATCATCAATAATTTAGAGATTTTTTGTTTCTTTTTTTGTGAATTTTCTTTTATGTCTCGTTATATAGGACGCTGGTTGTTCCGTTGATCTTTGCATTAGTGGGTGTCTCTATTTCTGCACCAATAAACGGTAAGGAAACTTACTCAGTATGTCTGACTTCATTACATTTCTCACATATAGCTTACATAAATACCATTACAGATCACCCCGAATCCCTAAATTATTATCAGTGGCATGCACCACCAGCTCTTCTTTCTAAGTAACACGAAGCATTTACTGCCTCACTATAATGAGACTGTAATCAGAGCCCTTCACTGAACACAAAAGAGTTCTGTTCACCTGTGCTGCTACATTTAGCCTGGGCCTCTATAGGAGATATAGGACTCTTATAGCTCAATGCACTCACACCACTAACTGACCGTCTTGTCTTTTGTTTTGATACAGATGGAACAGATAATGATGGTAAGAATGTGTCTCTTATACACATTAACCTTAATTATAATGCAAATGATGACTTTTTAAGTTAATTAGTGCCTCTGAATACATGAGCTATGTTAGAACAATGAATTGCATTGTACTACTACAATTGTTCAAGAAAGCCATATAGACAGAAAAATCCCTCTTTAATCAGAGTTGTTTCTCCTAAACAGAAATGGGATGGAATTAGATGTACTTTTCCTTAGAAAAAGGCCCCAGCAATCTCATATGTGTCTCTGAGAGTTTCAGAAGAGATTTCAGCAATGCCTGCAATTAAACGATAGAGATCTCTATATGAATCAGATTCTTTCAAATGTTGCTTTGCACAATGATTTTATAGCTCTATAAGCTCTATACATCCTCTGGGCAGGCAGACTAGTTATAAAGAGGACAAAAAGTATCTGGTTCTAAATGAATTTTGTTCTGACTTTTATGTTATAATCTCAGAGGCGGCTGCAGCCCTAGGGATCCTCAATGGTAAGGTGCAATGAATTTGAGCTATATTTCTGCATAAATCAATTGACCATAGAAGGGTTTCCAGTTGATCTGAAAAACATGTTTTTATCTCTTTTTTTTCAGCTCCTCCAACTCCACTCCCTGGAAATGGAGACTCAGGTTGGTCTGGCTGATATTGATCACGTTTCGCTGTAAAATGTGTTATATAAAAATAGTCCAATAAGATAGACGTGAACATAAATTTTAACATCAAGGTCTAGACAAAGAGCAGTGTTGTGAGTGTTATTAAAACAATTATTAAAAAATATGTTATAAAAAAATATATAAATATTAGGTAAAAAACATAAATATTAGAAATAATAAAATAATGTACTAAAATGAAATAAATCAAATATAAACAATAAATATTTAAAAAGTCCAATAATGAACTTAATTTGAATGTCAAGATTTAGACAGTGTTGTTAATGTTAACTAAAACTGTTAAAATATTATGAAAAATATTATTAAAAACTATTAAAACATTTTCATTAACTGAAATAAAGCTGAAACAATATCAAATAACAAATATTAGATGAAAAACTTCAAATTAAAAATAAAATTAGAAATACTGCCTTGGCAACTAACTGAAATAAAATGTAAGTTTTTTACATTTAAAATGTATGTATTGGAATTTGAAATAAACTAAAGCTAAATATAAATATTATAACCACTAATAAAAATGATAAAAGTGCATGAAAAATGACTAAAACGTATTAACTTAATTAAAACCTGAATGAAAACTTAAATTAGAAATGTTGCTGTAGCAACAAAGTTTGTTTACTTTAAATTTACTAAAACAAAAATAAAATAGAAATATTTTAGAAAAAGCTCATAACAAAATGACTCAAACTAAAATTAAGTAACTTTGGAAAACTTTCTTTTAAACAGGAACTACAGATGGAAAAGATTCAGCAGAGAAACAAGGAGGTAAGAGATAACAAACACAAAGAGACATCATCACACTGAGCTAATAATTCTCTTTGATTTCAGGTCCCAGTGACTCATCTGACACCACTGAAAAACCAGGTCAGTTTCTGGCATCAAGAGTCTAGATATACAGGACATAAAAGAGAGAAAGAAACCATGACCTGACCACTGCATCACAGCTTTCACTGAATTTCACAAGTGCCAACAGAAAGTACTGACATCAAGATAACATATGAATGAGTGTGATAACACAGCGATTAATGTTTAACTGCTGTGTGTTCAGCATCAGTGAACTAGAAGAACTAGCATTAGATTGCAAAGCAGGAGACATTCAGTCAACAGGAAAAAAGATTAGTGGAAACAGGCTTCTGTTTAATCATAATGATTAAATACAAGAATTTAAAGTTAATGCTTAAAATTAAGTGAATTTACATTTAAAATATAATCTCTGTTTTGTTTTGTTTTAAGAATAAACTCAATTTGACTCAAACAAAACTTAATACCTCAAGTCATTTTCCTTCAAGCATGAATCTTGATTTAGGAATGTGTAAATATTTGTACTGAAAAATATTTTTTGCAGCTCAAAGCTGTGTCACACTCCATCTTTCCTGAATACTGTCATGGCAACAAGACAGAAAGCAGCAAATATTTATGATCCACATTATAAATGAATGATAATCAATTAATTTATACAAAGGATGGTGATGTTTGGTCTTTGTTGATATTGTAAACTAAGTGTACCAAGATCCTTAAAGTGATTCAATTTTTGTGTTTATACAATTATGATTATAATAACTATATATAAAAAGTTATATAGCGACTTTTTATCTCGCAATTCTTACTTTTTTCGCAATTGAGTTTATATCTCGCAATTCTGATATTTGCCCTCAGAATTCTGAGTTTACATCTTGCAATAGTTTTTTTTGATAACATTTTTTTAAATAAAAAAGAATAAAGAATAAATAAGGTATTTGCAACTTTTCATTTCATACACTCTAAAAAATGCTGGGTTAAATACAACCCATTGCTGGGTAAAATAGGGACAAACCCAGCAATTGGGCTGTTTTGACCCAGCGGTTGGGTTACTACCCAGAAGGTTGGGTTAAACATTTAACCCAACCGCTGGGTCAAAACAGCCCAATTGCTGGGTTTGTCCCTATTTTACCCAGCACTGGGTTGTATTTAACCCAGCATTTTTTAGAGTGCAGAAGGATTCATAAGAGTGAGCAAACATTACTGTGACAATTCTAACACAGGCGATTGTGCAATTCACGAAAGGTTAATCCATGAGGTTGGCTAAGAGGAATGTTGTTTCAGGTAGCGGTAAGAAGCCCACTGCGGATCACGTAGATTACAGTCAAAATGCCCCCATGCCTCTCCCAAAGCATCCCGAGGCTATACACAAACTCAAGAGCATCATGCTTTAACCCTTCCGTTCGCCACACAATGACTCACTTACCACTTACACAGTAATCCCAGATATCCTCAGCCTGCAAGCCTTTGTATTACACCTGGAAATTCCCTCAATTTGAGGTTGCATGGCATTCCACATATCTTGACAATAATCCTGAGCCATTTTTCCCTTTCTCCGCTTCTTTTGGAGGACAAAGTAAACAATTTAATGGTCTTTAGAGTGGGCGGCAGAGTGAAAACGAAAGCTGTCACCAGAAGAAAAAAAAAGTAGCGAGGCAAGCAGCTTCTTGTCTTCCTGTGATGGACATTTGCATCTGGTAGATGCTCTGAAGTTACAAAAAAGGCATAGAATCTATGATATTCTTTAAATGAATCTATGTACAGAATATCTTAGAACAGATAAGGCTTTAAAGACCTTTTGTGGTGTTTAGTATGTTTCTTAGCTTTGACTGCAACATACTAGTGTGCTAGTGTACTCCAGCAACTTAAATTTTAGCAGACACAATTTTTTTTTCTATTCCAAAAAATTAAAAAAACAGATAAAAAATATGAGTAAATATATTTCTGTCCAATTAAATGCAAGAATGAGAATGTTCCTCCTCTAAAGCCACCTTCAGATGTTACTTTGGATAGAAGAACCAATACTCATTTCTGGATCTACTTTGAAATCTGCCTTCAATTTGTATATGGAGTTAAGACTTAAAAATAAAGGTTCTTTACTGGCATTGATGGTTCCATGAAGAACCTTTAACATCCATGGAACCTTTCCACTGCACAAAAGTTCTTTATAGTAAAAAGAGTTTTTTTTTAGATTGTTAAAATGTCCTTTGCTTTAAGAAAAAGTGATTCTTTTAAGAACTGTTCACTAAAGGTTCTTTGGGGAACCAAAACCCCTCTTTAGGAACCTTTATATTTAAGAGTGGATGCAGAAAAGACAAATTTCTCTAAAGAAGTGACAACATTGTTGTTTAGTACCATCTCCAACTAAAACAAGCTCAACATAACAGCTTTCCAGTTTTTGCAAATATATTTAAAATAATGTCCACTCACATTATATGACGACTCAGTATGATATATCAGTGCTCTAATTTATTATTTGTAGGTTGCCTCATGGAGGCTGACAAGCTGATGTCACATAATCAGCTAAATGGTACTTTCTTTATCTGGATAACCCTCCTGTTATTGGATTCTTCAGGGTGCAAAATAAATAAACCATGGGTCAATGAGATTTTTCTACAATGGCATATTGGTAATCTACTTTGTTTGGTGCATCAGCACTAGTAAGTATCACCATAAAACACAAGACTTCTGCCATATCATTCAGTGCAATAGAAACACAAAATACATCCCCTTTAAAGGTGCACTTAGTATTTGTTTTTATATGGCAATGGACCATACAACAGTCATGTTGGATTTATACTGACAACTAGTGGCATGGAGAATCACTTGCATGTAGCATCAGGCAAAAAAGCGAAATATTTCAGATATGGATGTCATTGCAGAAATTGAATTTTTTTTTGGTGCATATTTTCAAAATGTAAACTTCTGAGTGCATAGTTCACCCAAAAATGAAACTTGCATTACTTATCATTTACGCACTCTCATGTTGTTTTCAAACCTGCATGTCTTTCTTTCTTCTGCAGAACACAAAAGATGTAAAATAAATAAATAAATAAAAATAAGAAAAAACAATAAGACAAAAATAATAATACCACAGAAGAAAGAAAGTCAAGACAGGTTTAGAATGGATCAGGATTAGAGTTAAGCAAATAATGTACTTTCTAAACATTATTTTCATTCTTAATTGACTGAAGAAATGTCACATATAAACACACATGACACAGTAAAGCAAAATCATTTTTGATCAGAAATGCTAACATTAATATTTTGATTCATGCACACATAACACTCCAAAACATAAGTTGATAGCTAAAACTCCAGAAAACTATGGTAAGTAACATCTGGATCAATCAGAAATTTGTGAAATAAGATATGCAGGACCATTCCCCACAGAGTTCCATATACATGAATATAGAGTAAACAAGATTCATAGTATGCACCAGTATCATTATAGCTATGGTGCTAGCTAAGGAGCCAAACACTCTCAAATGTAGGGCCTGTTTCTCTTATCCCCAAACGTAAACAGCAATCTGTGCTGCAAACTCCACTTATGCCCATTTTAAAAGCTTATCCTGCTGTTATTGTAGCTCACAGAGGCCTGGTCTTTGAGAATGGAGCGGAACGTGGCGCGTCAGAGGTGACAGTCTTCACAGGCGGACACTGAGTGATGGCCATAGCACTCACCTTCCTGGGACCGCTATCACCTTACACGTCCACAGAAAGTCAGAGACCAAGCCTCACGCTTGACTTCATCCTACAAACAGAGCCCCATTTCCTGTTTCAGAGGGTCATCTTCATGACAGACTGATGTAGCACCTTTCTTCATGGCGACGCTGGACTTTAGGGAAAACACTGACTGCTCTGGTTTCAAGCTTCTCTGCTTGACATTACTGTGATTTTTTTTTCCTGTGTGGATGCACTATATGTATGAGATAAACCTTATGAGTACTATCTCTCATATAAAGATCTGAACTAACCCATAACCCTAAGTATTAAACTTTGTTAAATAATTTTGTAAGCAACCAACCAGAGCACCCCAGCAACCACCAAGCAATGCCCTCGCAACCACTCAGAACACCCCAGCAACCACCAAGCAATGCCCTAGCAACCACTCAGAAGGCCCTAGCAACTGCCATCCACATGCTAAAACACTTAGAACACCTTATTCTGATTATATACTACAGCAACGTCCTGGCATTAAGGTGTACAAGGAAATTTTCTCATCAACATTAAACCATTAAGGCATTTTACTTCCCAAGTTCCATTAGTTACTTTAAAGGGTCATATGATGCTGCTAAAAAGAACATTATTTTGTGTATTTGGTGTAATGAAATGTGTTTATGCGGTTTAAAGTTAAAAAAACACATTATTTTCCACATACTGTACATAAAAAGAACCATGTGGAAATGGTGACAGAAGAGTGTATGATGATTTACTGTAGATCTTTATAGAATAACTTGCTTCAAGATCCAACAAATTCTAAAATCCAAAGCAAACATGTTGGATTCAGACACACACAAAAAATTAAACGCTATGTTTCTGTCCTTTTAGAGGTTTACTAAGGGATTCCGAACAATCATAGCATTTTGATGAAGCGAACTAAATTACACTGAACAAAGGATTTGCACTTTTTGAATTACTGTTTCTCAAAGAAAGTGCTGAGAACAGTATGTACAGGGTGCGAACTACGGGGGAGCTAGGGGGAGCTCGGCTCCCCTTAATAAGACATGGGCTCCCCTGAAAATGTGATTTGTGAAATTTTGGGGGGGCTCAAAAAATATTGACAATGTGTTATTTTGACGTGCAATTTCAGTTTTGTGTAATGTGATCATCATGGATTATTATTATATAAAATGGCAAAAATATCATTCATTCATGCATGAAGGCGATTTAAACCTAATTCACTTCAATACCGCAAGCGCAAACCCCCCCATAAAAAAAAAACAAGCGGGCTCCCCCAAAGTCCACGGTATAGTTCGAACACTGAGTATGTAGCAGTTTACTTTTAAAACTACAATCATAAAAGTACACACAAGTAGCCCGACTGAGAAATTAAAAATAAACCAAATAAAAATAAAGCTGACAAATAACACACCTCATTTTTTTTTACATCAAGTTTAAATTTATATGTATGTTGAAGGGAAGGAATATATTTCAGATGCTGTTACTTGTTTATTAATATTAATAGTTTATTAAATAGTTTATTTTGCATAAATAAATGCTGTTCTTTTGAATTTTTTTTTCATCAAAGAATTCTAAGAAGAAGAAAAAAAAATCAGGTTCCATGAAAATATTAGAATGATTTCTGAAAGATCATGTGACACTTAAGACTGGTTTAATGGCTGCTGAAAATTCAGCTTTACCATCACAGGAATACATTTCTAGTTTAATATATTTTAAAATGTAAAGCGTTATTTTAAATTGAAATAACATTTCACAGTAATACTGTTTTTACTGATATAAATGCAGCCTTGCTGAACATAAGAATTTTCTTTCAAAACCATTTCAAAATCGGACCGACCCCAAACTTTTTAGCAGTAGTGTAGGTTATGGAGAATAATAGCATGTTGTCACACCACAGGACACTGCTTGAAATTTCATGTCAGCTACTCCTATACAGATGTTTAATTGTAAGATACATGTTGAAAAAGAGGAACAAAGCGGGAACACCGCCAAAAGGAGAGTCTAGAAAATAAGCCGCCAAAAACAGACAGTGAAGAAAGGGCAAACAAGCAACTGAAGAAGAGGAAAAGTTATGGCTGCACTCTGCAAGCAAAACCATCAGTGAGTGTGGGAAAAGAACTGTGTGTACGCGGGTTCACGAGGAGCTCACGTGATACGGTTGCACCACAACCGAGACGCCGTACTCACCGTCCAGGTGGCTGACTTGGCCGTGCTCGACTGCTGGAAGGTGACCTCGAAGTTGTGCGGCCCGGGGTAGTCAGTGTTGGAGGGGATGGCCGGGGCTGGAGACATGGCCTCGAAGGTCGAGTTTGGCTGGGAGTAGGGTGACGGCGTTGGCACGTTGGAGGTGGTCTCTGAGCTGTAGGGACTGGTAGACGCTGCTCTGTTCCCCAAACCTTGTTCCATACTGCTGCTCAGTAGGCTGTACTGAGACTGAGAGGAAAGCAGAAAGAGAAGGAGGGTGAGACAGGTGAAGGAGTGGGAGGGAGGCAGAAAGTTGACTTTGAGGGAGAGAGGGAGGAGATAAGACTCCATCCACTCCACTTCTAGAGCTCCAGTTACACCGCGTTGGGACGCACGAGAGGGAGTCATGCCTCCAGGCGAAGGGTAGGTTGTAAAACACAACCGAAATCTTTCAATGTCTAATTGCCTGCCATTCTCTTCTCTAACTTACAAACACAAAATTCACAGATCATACCCACCACCACACATAAATTATGAAGTGTCTGCATGTGTTGTGCTAGAAGTACCTCAACAAATGTGTTAAAAGTAAAGCTCAGCTGGACAAAGACATTATGACATGATAACAACAAAGCGTCCTTGAGATTGGGAAAGGCGCTATATAAATTAAACTTATTATTATTATAACATGAGCTAATTTGGTAACAAACCATGTATTCTCATGCGTTTGATGAGCTCACACTTTTCTATGTTGTGTTTTATTTGTTTCATATTTCCATGCATTTTGAACATTTCTAGCACAGTTTAGAAAAGTTAGCATCACTATTATTCATATGTAAGGTTAGTGTTTTTTTTTTTTTAATCGTCCCGTACCATTTGTATGAAAGCCCGTTTCCACCACTGAATAAAAGATTAAAAAAGGTAACTGCAACTTTTTTTTTTGCAACTTTTTTTCTCAGAACTGTGAATTTATATCTCAATTCTGACTTTATTTCTCAGAATTTTGAATTCTGACTTTATGACTCACAATAGCAAGTTTATATCGCACAAATAATAAAAAAAAAATGTCAAAATTGTGAGATAAAAAGTCGCAATTCCCATTTTTTTATTATTTTTTTTTTTCATTATTCAGTGGCGGAAATGGGCTTCCATACATCTGCACAGACTTAAATTAATTACGCAGTTTGTTGAAGATAGCTGGGTTATTACTTTTTTACTACAACATGTAAAAAAATGTGGAGGGGGGGGAATCTCAGACTTTTGCAAGCCAGAGTCATATCTAAAAACCAAATTTTGGCTGGGATCTTTCATCTTGGGCCAGTAAGGATCCACCAAACAACCACCCATAACACCTTAACAACACCCTGGCAACCACTCAGAACACCCTAGCAATGGCATAGCAACATCCAAGCAAGCACAACATCACTGCTTCACTGCCGAAGCTTTCACAGAAATCAAATGTATAAATCAAATGTAAAAATCACTGTTATTATATAAATCTGACATAAAGGGATCTTCAAAACCTCAAAAAATAAAAGCAAATATCAGAAATGCTAACATTATCACTTGAATCATGCAGACATGTTTTGAAATAATAAAAAAAAGCATGATGGGTAATGATTCCCACAAAACCTCTGAACCAATCAGAGCCCTGTGAAATAAGATAACCAAACTGCAACACAAGTCAAGCGAAGAGAAAAGTCTTTACCTTCTTTTTCACATAGTACATTGTCCAAACGGACAGAATCACATGTCCTCGGCTAAGAAACGACACACTGATGAACCCACAGGAACCATAGTGAGTAAAACACTCATCTCAAGGTCTCCTCAAGCTGAGACGTTATCACCTGTTCTCTCTCCTGTGAGGAACCAGAGCGGGTGGAGTCCAGAGGGACGGAGGTCAGAAACCACGCATTGTCCTAATTATGGCATATCGGCAGTCAGACAACACCTGCACAAGTATATACTTGCCGGAAGACACTTTCTCAAGACCCTGCCTGTGTTAATAACACCATTCAAGCATGCACAGGAGAAAAGAGAACTAGAAAGATAAAGCAAAGGGTTCAAAGGTAGACAGAAGAGGTTTTCAAAATGCAATTAAATGAAAACTAGAACCGTGTGGTGCTTCCTGCAAAATTTCAGCACAGAAATGCAAGGTTGGTAAGTGGTTACTAAGTGGTTATTTACTGGCCCAAGTCAAAAGCCCAACCCAAATCTCAATATCTCTACTTCAGTGTAAATCTATGGGACTTTTCCACCTGTTTTTTCATCCACTAGGAGAAAACGGCAAATCTGACCACTACAACAAGCCACAGAATCATTCATGCTAATATTGATACCTGCCTTTGCATGTATCTACAGTGTAATCTATATCCTCATTATAGATTTTTGGTAACACTTTACAATAAGGTTCCATTAGTTAATGTATTAACTAACATGAATCAACAATGAACAGCACATTTATTACAGTATTTATTCATCTTTATTAATGTTAGTTAATGAAAATACAGTCGTTCGTTGTTAGTTCACAATGCATTAACTAATGTTAACAAGCATAACTTTTGATTTTAATAATGTATTAGTAAATGCTGAAATTAACACTAAGATTAATAAATACTGTAGAAGCATTGTTCATGCTTAGTTAATGTTAACTAAAGTAGTTAACTAGTGTTAACTAATGAACCTTATTGTAAAGTGTTACCTAGATTTCTAACAGATTTCTGTTTTTGCCTCAGATAGGGTGCTTTCTATAAAGCATCTCTTACAGTTTTTCTGAATTGCTAAAACACTAAATCCCAATCTCTGAACCAAATTCTCACTAGCTTAAACCAATTTGTCGAATAAAGCACACTTTCTGCTAAACCTTAAACATGTTCAGGCAGTTAGGCTCTATTTGCAAATCTCATGCATTCTTTTTTTAAAACTCTAAACACATTCTCATTCACTTAAACACTTATCACACTGAATACAACTAAAGCACAGTTATCATCGTTTACACACAACGATTCAAAATTGTTTACTCAATACAATATACTTTTTTCTGTAATGTTCTGGATGCTGTGTTCTCCATTTTTCTCTGTAGTGTCTAATGAATGCTCTGTAGTGTTTATTTTATTGACTCATGTGTGTGAGATCTGAGAGCACTGTTTGATTTTGAGTACAGGTGAAATGGTTTAGCAGTGATTGTTTGATCTTGATGGAAGAGTCAGAGGTTTCGTGAATTTAGTTTGAGTATTTGGATTTGTGTTTAAGGTTTGGAGAAAATGAGTGATGGTTTCAAGAAATGTGTTTTAGCAATTCAGAAAAACTGTATGAACAATATAATGTGAGAAGCGCTGTTTCAGATCAACCACACACACACACACACACACACACACACACACTCACACACACACACACACAGGTGTGCCTCATCAGTAAGTCTAAACATGCTCTGTGACAAGTTGAAACAGTACAGAAGCATTGTTGTGTGTGTGTGTGTGTGTGTGTGTGTGTGTGTGTGTAAGTGTATGTGTATGTGTGTGTATATGTGTGTGTGTGTGTGTGTGTGTGTGTGTGT